TGCTGTTCATGAGTTTAATTCTGAGATTCATCATGAGCCAGACAATGTTGTTATTATGTTTGGCTTCACACAGTGATCATTCAGAGACATTTCTATGTTTGTCCAGGTAGTTCCCAAAGCTGATGTTCTTCGTCCCTTTGTGTGGAGTCACATTGCTATCTGAGAGACTGTTCCTCTGTGCAAGGGGTGTCTCACTCGCTGCTGTAGTGAGCGTCTGTGGGTGATCAATTATGTGATGTTGTGCAGGCTGAAGATATATCTTGCTTCATTTTTGAGAGATATTTTCACAGGATAATGAATTGCAGGTGAACAGATTTTTTTTTTTCCTACGGATATATATTTTTATAAAGATTTTATTCATTTGAGAGGGAGAGAGAGAGAGAACACAAGTTGGGGTTTGGGCAGAGGGAGAAGTAGAAACAGACTCCCCACTGAGCAGACAGCAGGAGAAATGGCTTGATCCTGGGACTCTAGGATCATGACCTGAGCCCAAGGCAGAAGCTTAACTGATAAAGTCACCCAGGTCCCCCTACAGATACATAGTTTAAAACCTTTGTTTTATAAAAAACATTTCTCCACTGCCATCTTGCTTGCTTTGCTTGTAGTAAGAATCTGCTCTCACCATGTTTATTCCTCTGCAGACGACCTTCATGTTCTCCCTGGCTGCTTCACAGATGACTCTTCCACAACGATGTTCAGCAATGTGGGTGTGACGTCATGACAGTGTCGGTGCCTCATGGTTCCTGTGCTTGAGCTTTGATGAACTTCTTGAATATGTCAGTTATTGTTTTCACCACATTTGTGACAGTTCTGTCCAATACCTCTTTAAGCATCTTTTCTCTTCCCTCCTGTCTGTCTTTTCTGCTTGGGGGCTCCAGTTACAAGCACAGTAGGCTGCATGAAGTGGAGCCACAGCCAACTGAGGCTCTGTTCATTTCTTACAGTCTTTTGACTTATTCACTTATTTTTTTGCCTTATTTCATTTTGAATGGTTACTACTTTGATGTCATGGAGTTTGTGAATCTCTTATTTTGCAGCATCTAATCTGTTTTTGGTGTCACCCTGTGCATTTTTCCTCTAAGATGATTCAGTTTTCATTTTCAGAAGCGAGACGTGGCCCTGTTCAAAGGTCGTCCATATCTGCATCGAACATGTTCAGTCATGCTCTGCCTCTTCAAACAAATGGAATCTCACTCAATGGCAATTTGTGTGTAATTCATCATACATCCTCTGCAGAGTCCACCTGCAGGGCAGGGAAGATGGAGTAGCCTGTAGACCTCAGACCTGAGGATCTGGGTCAGATCTCATTGCTTTGTGTACAGGCCTCCTGGGGCTGGAGGAGAGAGTGGGGGGGGGTTATGTCTCACTTCCTCGTCTGCCTGTGTCACTGTGATACCCTTATGTGATAGACAGTAATAGTTGGCCTCGTCCTTGGCCTGGGCCCCATTGGTGGTCAGGGTGGCCGAGTTTCCTGAGCTGGAGCCTGAGAACCAGTTTGGGATCCCTGAGGGCCAGTTACTACCACTACAGATAATCATCACGGGTGCCTGGCCCCGCTTCTGTTGGTGCCAGGAAATACATGTACGTCCATGTACGTCCAATGTTATCTCCCCCACAGGTGATGTTGGCCCAGGTTCACTGACACTGAGGGAGGCTGAGTTAGCATGTAGGTTGCCACAGGACCTGCAAGAGAGGGAAAGAGAGGTGGGTTTTCAAATTACGCTCTCATCTTTAGGAAGCCCCCACCTGCATGATCTAGATTGGAGTTTAAGGATACTTTGGGCATACAGGGCACCCCTCCCATCAGTCTCAGCCCCTGGGATCCCTGGGCCTGGATGGTGGATGGAGTCTTTGATCAAACAAGCCCATGACCCTCTTTCCCTGGGCAGGTACAGCCCCTCAGGGCTCACACAGAGCCATCCAGTCCTTCATCCTGCGGCTGGGTCATGAGCATTCTCCCACACAGAGGCAGTGCCCCACTGAGCTCCATGTCAGTGCCAGTCTTGTGACAGTTTTGTGGGTCTGGGTGGGTGTGAGCCAGGTCTCAGCACCTGTGCAGTGAGCCAGGAATCTTAGGAGAAGAGGGGTCCAGGCCATGGGGGAGGTGCCCTGACTTGTACCCTTAGGCACATGCCTCTCTTATCCCCTTGTTGGAAACACCTGAAGGTTATGCAAATTAACCAGGGTCGTTTCTGAGGAACATTGTGGTTGCAGAGAAGGCTCAGCTTCAGGGGACAGAGAGAGGTAGGGGTGGTCCCTGCAGACCTACTTTCAGCCTAGGGGATTCTGCTTCACCCACATGTCCCACAGTTGGTTCTGAAATCCCCTCCCTGATTTTGTCCTATCCTTGTTCCTGGGTGACCATAAGAGGCT